AATCACAGGAAAATTCCAGGTTATGTTGAAATCAGAAAGGCCTGACATATTATTTTGATTCATCTCCTGTGCAGTCATATACACATTACCTGGTGCAACCTCCTCACTAGCACCACTAAGCTTATAATTAGGAGCATGATTTGTGCTTACTTTTCTAGCAGCTGACTCTAAAACCAGATAATCATCATCTGGAATCCAATTTCTCCAAAGGGTATCATTAAAAGGGGTTAATTTCAAACCACCCACATTAATTCTAAAAACAGGCTCTAAAATTTGGGAAGATATGTTTTTATACTCCTTAGTACCATAATTTTCTAAAGACATCACCCCAAAATCAAGAATTAAATTATCAGGAGCAGAAATCAGCTCAATAGCATTAACAAACCCGACCCCGGTTTCGCCACCATCAGGAGTAAACACAATTTTAAGCGTATTAGAATCCACCCTCATTATAAACTCCCTCAAAAAATACTTAGAAGCTCTAAAACCATGAAATAAAGAATACCCATTTGCAGAAACACTAAAAATTGCAGAACTAAGATTATAATTCTGTGAATTGAAAGGCGAAAAATGAAGACGTACCAAATGAATACCCCTTGATTTGATGCTGAATTCATATGTAGCAGTTGACCCACCTATGAACACCCTAGCTGTGTTGTAAATTGGAGGTGAATTTGGTGATGGTTTTGGGTTAGAAATTGAAATTGGTGATGATTTAGAAGAAGAATCAACTTTAAGAAATCTGGGTTTTGTTAAATCTCCAATAAAAACACGATTTTCAATTGAAAGTTTTGAGCTTGAACCACAGTTTATGAGGTAATTATCAGGTGGATTAAAGTCAGCAGCAGAAAAAGAGGTCATTGAACAGAAAATTAGCAAAGAAAAGAGGAAATTATTCATCTGGGTATCCATATTTTAGCTAGATTTCAGTGAAAAATTGTGTTATTTAGCTTAATTTCATATCATTATAGCAAATCATGGGTACTATTTGAGTGAGTGTGATGTAAATCATTGAGCTTTAGAATAAAACTAAGGAATTTTTTATATTTGACAAAAAAGAAGAATTTGGACCGTTGGTGTATCTAGTATTGAGTTCACATGGATGATGAAAATTGTTTTATGCAACAATTTGGAAGACGCGTGTTTTATGGCGGGCCCAAAACACCACTTATGTCAAAATTTCACATCTCCATTTTCATATGAATGAAAATTTCTTGCACTCTTTTGCAGATTGACTTAAGGGTTTGGATTATCTGTCACAAATTTTGTTATTTATTACGTGCACATAACGGAATATGGTGAAAACGTAGTTTAGCTCAACTCAGATATATTGTATATTCGGTTTATATTAGTTCAGTTTAATTCATCTATTTAAGTTAAAAGAACATGGTCTATGTTAAGCTTGTATTGTTTAAATTTAAATTTAATTGTATATATCATATGTTTTATTTTGTGGAGAAGAAAATAAGATTATTTATTTTTTAGTTAAAGGTGAGCTAAAAAAAAACTCTTTTCCGATACTGTGATAAGCAATGGGTAATCCATTTTGGTAGCTAAAAAGCCTAAAGTAGTGATCACAGGCAATAGTTCCACCAAGAAGTAGCAATAGTGCAATACCATAAAGTGCAGAATCTCATTGAACTTGAGATAAGCTTTTGCTGACTTTCTTTGGATGATAATGAGAATAATGACAACTATGAATTAGTTGGAATGCACTTTTTTCAACTACTTTAAAGGAGTATTTGGTATGTGGGAATATGGGATGAGCCGGATGAACCGATGAAGGGGATGGGGGCTTGGGCCAAGAATGTGGGATGCCATTAGAATTTGTTATTTTCTTAAACAAACACTAATTTCTTGTGAATAAAAGCAAATGAAAAATAAAAAGGAAAAAAAATAATGGGTGTGCAAATGTGATATCAAGTTCAAGAGAAAAAAGTTAGGACAAAAAAATTTACTTTAACATGAAAACAAGAATGTAAAATTGGACACATTAGATAGAAAATCAGTATAAGTGAATTAGGATTAAAGTAGATAAATACTTTATAAACGGAATTTGGGAACCAAATATTTTCTAATGATAAGAGATTATAGTTTTTACAAGTTAGTATAAAGCTTTTAATCCAATCAACTTGGCTAGACTATCAAGCCTCAATTGTATGTTTGTATTATTATAGTAGAACAAAATGTACCAATTGGCTGTTGGTGTAGTGGTGATTGGGACCACACTTGGTAGGGAGGACTCGTGTTCGATTTCACACAACAACAATCGGAAGGAGACTGAAACCTAACCACTCATAACTGATCTCCGAATATATATATATATATATATATATATATATATATATATATATATATATATATATCAATTATTTTTATATATTTTAAGGAAAAAAAATAAAAAAGAAAGTTTTTGGCGGAAATTTGTTTAATGTGGACGCGACACGTGTAGTTCTAGAATAATGTTGGTATTACTTTAGGGGTCGTTTGGTTCGCCAAAGGGAATCGGAATGGAATGAAGAAAGGTAATTAAAGAGAATGGAATGAAACCCATTCTTTTTAACATGTTTGTTTTCATAAAAAACACCCAAGAATCACACCATCACAGCACCACCACAACACAACCGCAACACCTCCAATTTCAACACAACTGCAACCCACAGCCTAGCCACCGCCCCTCCCGCCATCGCCGCCCCTGCCTCGATGTTCGCCGCCCTTCTTTGCCGCCCCTCCCGTCCTCGAAAAACCACCCCTCCCAATCTCCCATCACGCAAAACCCTAAAAAAACCCTCCCTCTCCCCTCAAAACCGTCGGCCGCCGTTACCCCCACCCTCGAAACCCTAGCTTCTAGGTTTTCGAGGGTGGGGGTAATGGCGGCCGACGATTTTGAGGGGAGAGGGAGGGTTTTTGCATGATGGGAGATTGGGAGGGGGTGGTTTTTCGAGAACGGGAGGGTTGGCGAGGGTCAAGGCAAGGGAGGGGTGGAGAAGGAGCGACGATGTCCGGCGACCATGGGGGGAGGAGCGACGATCTACGTGCGACCAAAGGCAGCGAATGATGAGGATCGCCGTCGAGGGGATCGGTCATTCGGCGGTGACGACGGCGACGGTGGAGCAGCGATGAATAGGGAGAGGCAGCAAGGTGGCTGGACGGTGGTTTAGGGCAGCAAGGTGATGGTTGGTGTGAGGTTGGTGGTGTAGCACTAGTGGTGATGAGGGGAATGGGAATGCAAAAGGGGAGGGGGGTGGGGAATGGGTGTAGCGGGAAAATGGGTGAACCCAAAAATAAAAAGGGCTAAAGGGAATGGGGAAATGTGGCAAACAAACAATAACAAAGGGAATGAAACCCTCTCATTCCCATTCCCTTTATTTATTACCCCCAACCAAACGCCCCCTTAGTATCTAGTATTGATGTTATCGGATTTAATTAGTTTTTGCCTAAAAGTTATGTTATTCATTTGGAAAAAAAAAAGAAAAAAAAAAACTTTACTTGAATTAAGTGAACTTAATTTTTGAGAGTTGGGGATAACTCAAGTTGTTTGAACTTATTGTCTTCGTCCGTTTAAGCTTGTTTTACTTAATAAAATCAAAATAAACTAAGGGCTTTGTTATGTTCAGCTTAATTTCATTTGAGTTCTGTTCAACTTCAATCCTTTCACTTCCTAATCTCTTTCTCTCATAAACAAATGATGTCAGCTCTATTTAGTTCAGTTCCTAATTTCGTTCTCTCATAAACAAATTCAATTCAGCTCAATTCAATTCAGTTTTTAATTTCCTTCTCTCATTTCAGCTCAATTCAATTCAGTTTAGTTCAGCTTCAACAGTTTAGTAAATTGGAACAGAGCCTAAATGACCTAATTCTTTCGTTTGACATTATGTTGGGCCATGCGACCAATAATTCATTTGAGTTTATCTCGACAAGAACTACACTTAAAATCATGCCTGTAGTAACACGTAATATAATGTTGCCATACTGGCCAATCTTAAACCATAATTTAGTCTATTTTAAGTTCACCCAATCTGACCTAAATTCTAGGTTTAATTAAACTTTGACCATATTTGTTTACTTAAAAAGTTATCAAACGAAAGGTCATTAGAGTTATAAATATGAAATTTGCATAATTTTGCTAATCACAAATATATTTAGTAATAAATTAAACGTAAATAAATAGACCTAATCGGATCATTTCTGAAATATTTGCTGAATCGAACATAGCCTTAGGCACGGCACGAGTCACAAACTTTTTCGTGCAAGGTCATACCGGGCCTAATTTTCCCATCCCGTACTAGATCAACCCAAACAATCGTGAATCACCCTGTGGCCTGTGCCAAGCCTAATACTCGTACTACTACGATAAATACATGTCAAATTATCTAACCAAAAACCAATTCCAAATTCCAGCGACACAATAATCGTCGGCGCTTCAAACCCTTCAATCATCGTACTCGGTCGGTTGATCCTTACCACCATCACATCGTTAGCTACAATTCATTGATCTGAAGCTAATTTATCAAGGTATTTTTGCTTTCTTCGTCTCATAGTTTTTCAACCGAAATTTCGTTCTTTGGCTTTTGTTGAATGAATTTCAAAACATCTGTGATTTTTGCGATGCCAGTTTTATATTTGGATTCGATTTTTATTTATAAATATTTGTTTTCTTTGTTTTTAGGGTTTTGTAACGTTTTTTTTTATTGATTTCCCCCCCCCCCTTTTTAGTTTGGGTTTGTTGATTTTGTTGTATGCAATCATTCATATGTAATTGAATGAGTTATTCCTACAAAATTGACTTTACATATGTTAATTTTTATGGGTATGGAAAAAGAACACTTCTTGTCATCAAATAGCATTGAACTATAACACTTGTGTTAGATTTGGCGTTGTATGGATGAGCCAACTCACAGGACTTCTTGTAAATAGCTAAATTAGTGTCTTGTCCTTAAATCATAGTTACTTAAATGCTTTAGAAGTAGGCTTGGAGTAGGTTTGATATTATGAGGAGTTGAAACAACTAGCATGACTTGTATCGAGGTCGAGGTGAACATCCAAATAGTGATGGTGTGTTCTATGGATTTATGGATTAGGTTCAATGGTAAAGACTGATATCTGAAATGGCAATGGGGTATAAGGATGTCCGTGTGAAAGTTTGGTGGTTATTTGTTTGGCGAAATTAAAATTTAGGATTTTCATTTTTGTTTGGCGATGGGCACTACCCAATTGCTGAGTTCTTTCTATGACAATAGCAAAGGATTAGAAGTTATATATACTAGGAATATCCATCTTTTCCTAGGTTAGGGGAGTTGCTTACCTTGCACCTCGAAGATTTAGTAGGACACTAGGACATCAGGCTTCTAAGAATTTTGGGGATTTCCTGGGTATTGTCTGCATCCAACCAAACAACACCGATGGTTAATTTTGAAGGGACTAATTCGATTGTTAATTTTCCCCAAATTTTATCCCGGGTTAGTATTCTTTATTCATGCTGATTTATGTTTATATTTTCTGTAAATTCGATTTTTTTTGCTGATTTCTTGATTGAATTTTTCTGGGAACTTTGCGCTTTCTTGTTATTTTATTTATATATATATATATATTTTGTTGTTTCAATATTGGGCAATAGGGTTGCTAGATAATTCGGAAAGTTACCAAAAATGTTTAGAATTGTTATATTTAATGTGGGGTTTGTTATATTTTGTAACGATATGTATGAATTTCTGGGTAATTGATTGATTGTATGGAATAAATGCAGGGGTGTAAGAAGAAACTCAGAAGTTACATTCGAGGGTTGTTTTGTACATACCCAATTTGATTTGAAGGCTAATTTTTGTGAGTGAGTGAGTAGTGTTTGATTTTGGGGATTATTGTTGGAATTATGAGTTTTCAAGCTCAGATTGATCGTAGAGATCGTACAAGGTTTTCTGGACAACGCCAGCAAACCCAGACCCAGCAGTGGGTTGCAAGAGGTCCTGGGATCTTGAGCTCCCCGCCGTCAAACTTTAATGTGGATGCTGGTCGAAGCGACGACAATGTCTTTGAGAGGCAGGGGCAAGTGGATGGTAGAGAGAGGCAGGGGCAAATGGATAACAGAGAGAGGCAGGGGCAAACAGATAACAGAGAGAGGCAAGGGCAAATGAACAGTAGAGGGGGTCGAGGATTTAGAGGTGGTGGTGGGGGTCGTAGTTATATGGGTCGACCACATTATCTAAGAAGAGAGCGAAATGAGCCAAGGGAGGGCGTGGGAGAGAGAGGAGGAGCAGTTAATAAGGAAAAAAGTAATCAGAAGAGAAATGTTGTGGATTCGGATTTACCTCAGTTGGTGCAAGAAATTCAGGAGAAGTTAAGTAAGGGGATTGTGGAATGTATGATTTGTTATGATATGGTGAGGAGGAATGCTCCTGTTTGGTCTTGCTCGAGTTGCTACTCTATTTTCCATTTGAACTGTATTAAGAAATGGGCTCGTGCACCTACTTCTGCTGATACATCTGCTGAGAAGCTTCAGGGATATAATTGGCGGTGTCCTGGATGTCAGGCAGTGCAGCAAACAACATCTAAGGATATTCGTTATATTTGCTTTTGTGGTAAGAGACACGATCCTCCATCTGATTTATACTTGACACCGCACTCTTGCGGTGAGCCTTGTGGAAAATCACTAGAGAGGGAACTTCCTAGAGCTGATTTAAGCAAGGAGGATATGTGTCCCCATCTTTGTGTGTTGCAGTGCCATCCTGGTCCTTGTCCACCTTGCAAGGCTTTTGCTCCTCCTCGCCCTTGTCCTTGTGGTAAGAAAGTAATTACAACGAGATGTTCTGAACGGAAATCTGTTTATACTTGTGGTGAGGTATGCAATAAGATTCTTGAATGTGGGCGTCATCACTGCTATCAGATTTGTCATGTGGGTCCGTGTGAGCCTTGCCAGGTTCCCATAGATTCCTCTTGCTTCTGTAAGAAGAAGTCTGAGGTGGTTATTTGTGGAGAATTGTCATTGAAGGGAGAGATAAGGCCGGATGATGGTCTTTACTCTTGTAGTTCTACATGTGGAAAGAAGTTGAAATGTGGAAACCATGTTTGTGCTGAAATATGTCACCCAGGTCCTTGTGGGGAGTGTGAATTCTTGCCCAGCAAAGTAAAGACATGTTATTGTGGCAAGACAAACCTTAGGGTTCGGCGAAGGAGCTGTCTGGACCCAATTCCTACATGTTTAGGTACTTGTGGCAAGCTTCTTCCTTGTAATAAACATTACTGTAAGGATAAGTGTCATGCTGGAAATTGCTCTCCTTGCTCCGAGCTAGTCACTCAGAAATGCCGTTGTGGTTCAACTTCTCAAACTGTGGAATGCTATAAGACCACCCTTGCCAGTGAGAAATTTGTCTGTGATCGGCAATGTGGGCGTAAGAAGAATTGTGGAAGGCATCGGTGTAGTGAGCGCTGTTGCCCCCTTTCTGATTCTAGAAACACTGTATCTGGTGATTGGAACCCACACTTTTGTTCCATGCCTTGTGGAAAGAAGTTGAAATGCGGGCAACATTCTTGTGAAGCCTTCTGTCACTGTGGTCATTGTCCTCCCTGCATGGAAACTATTTTTACTGACCTTACATGTGCATGTGGAAGGACTTCAATCCCGCCACCCCTACCTTGTGGGACCCCTCCTCCCTCATGCCAATATCCATGTTTAGTTCCCCAGCCTTGTGGCCACCAATCTACTCACAGCTGTCATTTTGGAAATTGCCCTCCTTGTTCAGTTCCCATAGCGAAGGAATGTGTTGGTGGACATGTGGTTCTTCGCAACATTCCTTGTGGGTCAAAGGACATAACTTGTAACAAACTTTGTGGAAAGACTAGGCGATGTGGACTGCATTCTTGTTCTAGGAGTTGCCACCCGGCACCATGTGATCCATCTTGCGGACCGTCAGATCCTACTGTAAAGGGTTCTTGTGGACAAGTATGTGGTGCTCCGAGGAGAGACTGTAGACACACTTGTCAAGCTTTTTGCCACCCTACAACTCCTTGTCCCGAGTCAAGATGTGAATTTCCTGTGACAATCACATGCTCTTGTGGCAGAATTACTGCAGCAGTGCCTTGTGATGCTGGGGGAAGCAATTTAGGCTTTAGTGCTGTGAATGTGCTTGAAGCTTCTACTCTACAGAAGCTGCCAGCACCACTTCAGCCGGTGGAAGCAAATGAGAAAAGAGTTCCGCTTGGACAGAGGAAACTCATGTGTGACGATGAATGTGCCAAGCTTGTGAGGAAGCGTGTTCTTGCAGATGCTTTTGATATTTCTCAGCCTAGTCTGGATGCTCTTCATTTTGGTGAGAATGCAGCTGTTTCACAAGTGGTTTCAGAATTACTTCGCCGTGATCCAAAATGGGTACTTGCAGTGGAGGAGAGATGCAAACACCTGGTACTTGGTAAAGGCAAAGGATGTAGTGGTAGCAATATTAAAGTTCATGTCTTTTGTCCAATGCTGAAGGAGAAGCGAGATGCAATCCGTATAATAGCGGAGAGATGGAAACTCTCAATCAATGCTGCTGGTTGGGAGCCTAAGCGTTTCATTGTGGTTCATGCCACTGCTAAATCCAAAGCTCCAGCTCGTATTATTGGGCCCAAGGGTTCACCTGCAGTGAGTGCCAACCACTCACCTGTTTTTGACCCTTTGGTGGATATGGATCCTAGGCATGTTGTTGCCCTGCTTGACCTCCCAAGCGATGCAGACATCAGCACATTGGTTCTGCGGTTTGGTGGTGAGTGTGAACTGGTGTGGTTGAATGACAAGAATGCTCTTGCTGTTTTCAGTGATCCTGCTCGTGCAGCAACTGCTATGAGAAGGTTAGATAATGGATCTGTCTATCAAGGGGCTGCTGTCGTTCAACATATTGGTGTTGGAGCCACTGCAGCATCTGCTTGGGGAGGGGCGGCAGCTTCTTCTGCTCTCAAGGGTAATCCCTGGAAAAAAGCTGTTGTAAAGGAATCTAATAGCTGGGTTGAAGATTCATGGGGTGAGGAGGACTGGTCCGGTGGCAGTGTTACTGCTGATGTTGGACCCTCTACATCATCTAAAGGTCGTGAGGCCCCAGTTACTTCGACAACAAACCGATGGACAGTTCTGAATCCCGATTCTTCTTTGAGCTCAATAGAGTCATCAGCAAGAGCTTTGGACTTTGTCAAAAGAACTGCAGCTGCTGAACCCACTTCTGAGAGGGAAATGAAGAGTGTGCCATCAAGCAGTTCAACTGTCCAGCTTATGGGCACTCCTGATGACAATGCAGAAGTTGCAGACGACTGGGAAAAGGCTTATGAGTGATTCAATGTACTTTATTATTCTGTTAGTAGTCGAGGGCTGGTATTTTCACATTTACTTAATTTTGAAGAGAACATGAGATTGTGAAATCAGGCCTTTTTTGGCCACAAAGTGCAGTTTGCCTTTTTTTTTTTTTTTTAAAAATTTTTTTTTTTATTTATTTTTACTGTGAATATGATTCCTTGGATTTGTTGTCACTTGTCAGTTGTCATAGGTGCTCAGCATATCTTCTCTAACTTCAATTATGCTATTATTTAAGAGTTCATTCCTTTGCAATTTAAGTGCAGACTTATTTATAAGTTTACTATAGTTGTAGATTTTCGATTATGGGTGGAGGAGAGGGTATTATCGTTGTATAATTGAGTAAAAAAATGGAACTGCTTCGATGCACTGCATGTTATAGTAGTAAAACTATTTGCTGGCAGCTTCTTGTAAGAGTTGGAACAAGGATTGAATTACTTGGATACATCAACTTACCTTTCACAACCATTTTCTGTATACTGTATTCAATTTAATTTGATATTATCTTCATGCAAAGTTAACTTATGTGAAGTAAACTCTTTTGTAAATTGATTATGGTTTTTCATGTATGTGAATGCAGTTGAAGAGAAATTGTGATGCTCTGGTTCATATTAGCTGCTCACTTTGTGGGTACCATTGCTTGATTGGCATCAGATTCCATGTCCAAGATTATGGTAATGTATTTTCGTGTTGTAAATGCAAGATATCTTATAGCCTTGTCTATATGTGAATAGTTTGCATGCACATACCACACAACTTCTAGCTGTAAAGCTTAGTGGCCCCAAATCTTATAGAGGGTGGCTAATTGGCCACTTTAGGACTGATGTGAGATCGAATGCTGTTATTGATGGCATTGTCATTGTTTTTTTTTTGGTTTTTTTTTTTGGTTTTTGTCTTTGTTTAGCTTGTGGTGATACACTTTTCTTGTTCCCTGTTTCGTGATCTAAAGGCATGTACTCTGTTACTGTCTTCTTGTAAGGGAGTGTTTCATTTAGTAATTCTGTTGTAGAGCCTAGACACTTGAGAACCAACTGCTATCTTTCTATAAGTCAATTTAAGAATTTCATATATTACCTCCATCCTTTGCTGTAGAGTCTAGACACTTGGGAACCTACTGCTGTTTCCCTATAAGTCATTTAAAAATTCCATATATTACTTCCATTCTTGAGGGAGTTATGTTACTAACTTACTACTTTGATTAAGATTTTAATTTCTCGTACTCCATTAATTTGCTTTGCTTTGATTTTAAATCTTATGACAGAGGATATTAGGATAGTGATTGCCAACTGCCAAGAATGTAGCTATAACAGATATTAATGAAACAGAGGAGCCTTTGTTTACAAACTTCGTAATTTTTTTTCCTCAATATCTGAAAATAGCAAGTTAGACCTGTTTGGGGATTGAGAATTGGAGAGAGGTCATCTTACGTTGTTGTCAGCATGATATCTAATACACGTTTCAGATTCATTTGACTTTGGATTTAAGAATTGTCTTGATAGATAATTTGATAAATAATACAAGTGTATATATAGTCAGCATATTGGAGTATCATTTTTTTTTTTTTTTTTTTTACCATCACTGATTCACTGCAAATATGGTTTGTTGGGTAATAGAGCCATACCCATACTCCAGTACTTGGAACTTGATGTGAAACTGTTAATTCTTGTCAATACATGTTATCAGGATTAAGTCTTTGGCGGGGTACATTTCATTTATTTTAATCTAAGTAAGGTTTGGTGGTCCAATGTAGCTTAAATTTCTTGGACTGCTGCTTTTGAAGCGGTTCTGTTATATTTGATTGGATACATTGACAAATACTTAGCTCTCAAGTGCCTTTTTTGAACGGATATATTTACTTGGTTATAGTGACCAAAGCATTATTCTGAAATCAATTTTCTTTGTAAAATTTCGGGTGTTTTTATGCACAGGATTTAAATGGTACGAGTAACGAGACCTCTGACAGAAGAATTTACGTTGGTAATATTGATCATAGGATTTCTGAGTAAGTATTATGCATCAAAGTTTGAAAGTTCCTTCCATTTTCTGCCCTGGTGACACGGTTTTTCTCAATGAAGGGCTACTCTGCTCAAGATGTTTTCTCCGTTTGGGAAGATAGAATCTGAGGATTTCTTGTTGCATACCCGGGGACCAAAACGAGGTGAACCACGTGGCTTTGCTTTTGTCCAGTATAGCACGAAAGAGGTAAGCTGCTTATATACTGAAGCCCGTCTTTGTAATTTCCTTTTCTAATTGTTGGTCTGCTAAGAAGATGAATCAAAAACAATTTCTTATGTTCTTCATTGGAGTGAGCATGCAGGAAGCTAGACTAGCCAAGGAGAAGATGCATGGGAGGTTGGCTTGTGGACGCCCTTTGGTTGTACGCCTTGCTAACGAGAAATCTGCTGCTGAATTGGTGGAAAGTTCATCTAAGGTTGCTGGAGTTGTGAGCAGATCAACCCATTCAGGCAGCTCTTCTGGACAAATGAGTCGAAGTGCAAAAATTGCTGCAATAAAGAATAAGTTGAAGGTGCTGGAAGACGATGGCAGTAGAGCAAAAAAGCAGAAGCAGGTTGAGCACTATTCATCCTAGCTCTTAAACAATGGTTTCTCATCTATAAAGTGCTGTAATTATTCATGAGTTAAAGCGATGATAGCACATTTGCACCTGTGTGCTCTGTTGGTTACTTGGTTACTATTAACAGCCCGACTGTATCTGCACCTTGCTGTTTCTCTGTAAATTAGGAGTAAGTTATAGAAATTGTTTTGGTAGATTATTACTTGCATTTGTTTGTCGAGCAAATGAATTATGCATCATATAGCTGTCAGAGGGAATGGATTTTCTAATGTTACAAATCAGCTTTCATGAAAGTTCTGCTACAGATGAAATTTTGAAGCTTCCAAATGATCATGATCATGATTCATGACTCCTTGAGATTGTTAAGGAGTAAATATTGACCACCAGAGGCGATTGATATGGATAATAATTAAGTGGATGTTTTTACCAAATCGACAAAGAATGAAGGCAATTGTAAAAAATAGTCACATTCTCTGCGATTTCTAATTTTCTATAGAATCAAGAGATCTGTTTAACAAGCCATATCATAATTTGCTTGGCTTTGCAAGTCAATATACAAGTATTTACATAAACCAAAACCATCTCATGAATACCTTAATGTTTACATAAATTTGCTTGAATGTTACCATAGCCCTCAGTGTTTCAACACGCTTGTCGTTAACCAAAAGATGCACGTCCAATCACGTAAAGAGCGTAAAAAGTCAAAGGCTTTGTTTGGGAGAAAGCTGAAAGCTGAAGCTGATTAAGTTAGCTGATTTTGACTAGCTGATTTTATTAACTGATTTGACTAACTTATTGTGTTAGCTGATTGTATAAAAGTGTTTGGTAAATAGCTGATTACTTAAAGCTGTTTGAGTTTGCAAAGTGACCAATAAGGACATTAGCATATTTAACTTTGAAGAAGTAGTTATTTCATAAATGATATATGTATTTATTGTTAACAAATTTACATGGTAGATATAATTGGGCATATAATTTTATCAATGATATTATGAGATAATTTTTGTACATAATTCATTTTATGAAGTTGTGAGATCATTTTTTATATTTTTTTTTTGAAAGAAGATCATTCTTTATATGAACATTGCAAGAATAATTTTATATTAACAATAGTGAATGCACAACATCAATGAAATCGAAAAAAAATATTACAAGCTGAACTTTGTAATGTTACAATGCAAACAACCTTTTGATATTGGAAAATGAGAATGTCTATTAAATTAAAAGAAATCTATGTCTAAGAAATACGCCGTCGTCTTCTGGATTGCCTATTTGCCATCCGATGTATAATTTTTTTTTCCTGATATAATACATATATAATTCAGATTAAAAAAAAAAAATAAACGTATATATAATTCAAAAGAAAAAAATCACATAATTAAAAGCCAAAACAGTTAATAAGGCACATATATAGTTTAATTAAAAATTAAAAAAAAAACAGAATTGTTCTGGGTAACAACTAACAAGGATTTCAAATTTTTGTTAACATGAGATAATTTTTGGGGAGGAGATAAGGATTGCTAAAATTTGGATTAAAATAGATAATTTCTTTTAACAAAAAAAATGCATGACAAATATAATAAAATAAACTGAAAAACAATAATCAAAACAAAGAAATTAAGGAAGAAAAAATACAAGCTAAGCAAATCAGCTCTTTGAAAACGTTGGGTTACCCAACGTTTTGGAAAACAGCTTATTGAGGTAAATAAGCTTATTCAATAAGCTTACTACCAAACACTTGTATTAACTTATTTGACTAGTCAATCAGCTAAAGTTGGTCAAATAAGCTAATATAGCCCCAATAAGCTAACTACCAAACAAGGCCAAAGTAAAACACTTAAAAAAAAACCAGTTGGCCATTTCTTAACAGACTATCAGAGTTCTAATCTCTTTGCTAACCTGTAGACTAGACTACCACTCTTCCATTGCCACTTTCTGCCGAGCTTCCGCCGGCAATGCCGTTAATCTTCCCATCGGCGGTACTTTCTCCGCCGCAAAAATCACACTTTTTATCGCCGGCGGCGATTCTCCGGCATCGAAATCCACACTTACAGAGCTACTTGTCGACATCAAACTCCGAATTCCACGAGAAAAACCTCGTTCTCAAACACCGTTTGCTAAGATTTCCAGCAAATTTGAAGAAATTTAGCTCGGTCAAACCGTTGACCACTGTGAAATCGTCGTTGTCGTCGCCGATCATATCTCCGACCGATTCATGGGGCACCTGGACTGCTCTCTTCGCCTCCGCCGCTTTCGGTCTCTGGTTTGTTTTCTCTCTTTCCTAATTTGGTGCTGAATATTTGAGTTTTTCTAATTGTAGATTGAATTCTATTTTTGCTTTGAATGTGAAATCAGATTTTGTGCTTATTAGTATGGAGAAGTATGAATTTGTGAGATTACTGAATTTGTATTTAGATATTAAATATGTTGAAGTAGATGTTTCTATAACTTCCCAAATCCTAACCATGAAATGTGCAATAGTGAGAATAATTGGAACTTCCATCATCCCAAATTAAGTAATTGTCAATAAGGTGTGGTGGTCATTTTTATCAAGAAAAGTTGGACGCGAAATGCGTAATTTCCATCTGAGCATTGTCTCGGCGATGGGTGTCATTGGAAATCTCGAGTAGAGTATTGAGTATAATGGTTGTTAGTGTTGATGATACAATTGCGGTATTGTTAATTTATGGTTGCAGGTCAGAGAAGACTAAGATAGGGAGCGCCCTGAGTGGTCCGTTAGTTGCTACACTAGTTGGGCTTGCAGCAAGTAACTTGGGGATTATTGCTTCTGAAGCGAAAGTGATAGAACAATGTATACTACAAGAGGGGGGTGAATTGTAGTGTATGTAGACTATGGTAAATTTTGCGGAATTAAATCTACTACTAAGAGAAAAGACACTGAGATAGGCAATGAATAAATTCACTATGTAAAAATGATTTACAATCACTAATACGTTGCCTACACTCAAGTTCCGTGAGGAACTCAAGTTACCCAACTGTGATCCCTCAATCACAGTTTCTCACACTTTGTGATTCTACTCCGAATCACTTGTACAGTGTAAACAACTCTCTCAAGTCTCACACTTTACAACTCTCACAACCCAAACCCAATTACACAATGATTACAAGTATTTCCTAAAGAATTTAAGAGACTAAGGATGGAAGGAACTTCTCTTTTAAACACTTTGAAACTCTATGCTCAGAATATTTAAGATTGTTTTTCCACACTTTCAAAACTTAACGTTGATATGTTTTTATAAGGAGTTAAACCAAGCTTCCATCAAGTTCCCACTTCCCCCTTAATCCCACGTTCTCTTTGACTGAGAAGTTGGGATGTAGGCAGAGGAAATTTAGGAACATGATTTCCCTAGCTTGACTCCTAAATTCAACGTGCTCCTTAATTTAAGCAGCCAATATTTACCAAGTTAAAAATCAGTTAAAGACTTATTCAAAAGATAGTTATTATTTATTAAAAAAAGATAATTATTTATTTATTAATTAAAACATAAATAATTAATTAATTTAAAACTTGTCTTTTTAAATTAATGAATTATTTATTTATTTATAAAATCTTTTTAAATCTTTTTCAAAACTGATTTTTATCACTTCCTTAAATTAAGGGTTTTTGAAAACCGTTTTAAAACTTTCGTTTAAAACTTCAGGTTCCTTTAGGAACTTCGAGTTTCTTCTTAATTCCTTCCAACACTTTTGTTTCTTAAGTTCGTACACTGAGTAACTAAGAATATAGAGTTGTGAGGACATCTTGAAAGCTTGCATTCATCATCAAGTCTTCCAAACTCTGTTGTTCCTACTCCGGAACATTTAACTTCAAACCTGAATCTTCTGTTTTAACCAAGACTCATAAACGTCGTTAGTCAAAGTTTGTTTTATGTAGGTCAATCATCAAAATATAAGGTGGTCAATTCAACAATATTCCCCCTTTTTGATGATGACAAACAAAAACAAACTCGGTTAAACAAAACAAACATCCAAGCAATCAGAGTAACCAATACTTAAATAAAACAATTAAATTATTTAAAGCAATAAAATAAACTAAGGATAAAGAAGTCTGCATCATTCATGAAATTAATAAATTGTGAAATTTATACCTTTACTTAAATGATGAAGACTTGAAGGGAATCGGTTTGAGTCCAACTTTCTGAGTTTGTTCTTCTCTTCCCCCTTTTGACATTATCAAAATGATAGAAAGAGCATGCTATATATAGTACTAAACTACGGAGGGAGTAGTAAATCTGAATTCATGAACGATTAAGCATGTGCACACAGTTCATATGCAACCAAAATGAAAACATCAAATTCAAAGACAAACTTAGCCAGTTTAATACAAACCGAAATAAAAACAAATTAAAGTGTTCAAAACAAGCCAAACAAAATAAAATTGAAGGACAATATCACTGTTTAATAAATCACAAGAAAGAGTGGGGTAGGTTTGTTTTGCAAAGGGCTAGGAAATGGTAGCAGCTTCATGGTAAGGTAACATCCTTGATCGCATCGAGAATGGTCTTGTAACAACTTTGCTTCACTTTAGCTTTGAGTTCCTGAGCCGAGGAGTCCATATGAGCATTTACTTTATCTTCCAGAGAAAGCATCTGAGTTTGCAGCCCCTCAACTTTAGTAGCCAGGTTATCCACTTTAGAAGAAAGGTTAGTTATACTCTGTGTAAGTGTAGTGGACAAAAGCTTAAGTTCCTCCTGGATTTGCAAGAAACTTGGACCAGAGCTAAAAGCACTGAAGCCGAGACCAGAAGTACGAGGCTGTGAAGCAGGTGGAGAAGGTGTGGTTTGGTGAGCAGGGGATGGAATTGGAGGTGGTGATGGAGTTTCTTGAGGGACCCTGATGGAAGTTCCTTCAAAAACTTTGGTTGAATCATCATCCAACTCAACAATAACAGGCTCAGATTGCAGGGTTAGCAAGTCTGATACTTCTCCTTCTTCTTCCTGTTACAGGGGTGTGTTTGACAGAGCCCTCAATTTCCTGAAGCAACTCTTTCATTAATTTCTCTTGATCATCCTCTTCCTCCTTCTCACTCTCACTCTCTTTTTCTATTATATCACTCTCACTCTCTTTTTCTATTGTATCTTTCTCTTTTTCTTTTTCTCCTGCTTCCTCTGATTCACCTTCTGTTTTCTCTCCTTTGCTACTCTTCTTTTCTACTGCCCCATCACTCTTGTCTTCTTCGACCTCTTTGTCACTATCTTTTTCTGTTTCTTTCTCACCAATTTCTTAAATATTTTTCTCACTATCTTCCTCTTTCTTTTCTCCTTCCCCCTCACTGTGTTCCCCCTCACTCACTTTGCACATCAGATGCAAAACAAACATTCCCATTCACCACTTTTAAATTCAGCTTTAACAATGATTTTTCTTGAAGGATGTGTTCAGGCTTGAGAATCGATGAATGATGGTTGAGAGTTTAGTGGGGTAAGGTAAAGGATTTTGTGATTTACTTACAATGATTAAGATAAAATAAGAATTAAAGATAAAGATAAAAATTAAGATAAAATCTAATTGAGAAAATAAAAAAAATCTTTTTGTTGTTTTGAAATTTATAAGATAAAATTAATAAAAAGATAAAAATTGAAAGATAAAGAAAATTAAAAATTACGAAAGAAAAAAAATTCCAGTAAGTTACTTCAAAGTAAAATACTGGTTGACCTGTACAGAGCTTTTCACAAAGGAACTTGGAAAATAATATGGCTTAATTTGTCTTCTTCATCAACATAATCACATGATCACACACTCATTAAAATTACACACTCTTTCATTGCAAGATTCGAGATTATGTTTTTTACACCAAGGTTATATATAGCAATGCTGAGTCGTTTCACTAAGACATACCTTGGGATTCCAAGAAGAACTGCTCAATTCAGCTTTATCATTCCGAGTTCCAATCGCATCTTTTCGAATTTTTCTCTACTCAAAGGCTTTGTTAGAATATCAGCAATTTGATATTCAGTTTGTACAAATTCTAGTTTAATAGAGCCTTTTTCCACATTGTCTTTTAGAAAATGATGCCTAACATGAATATGCTTTACACGTGAATGATGTACTGGATCTTTTGATATGCAAATAGCACTTGTATTATCACAGTATATTGGAACACATTCAAGAACTATGCCAAAATCACGTAATTGTTGTTTTATCCACAAGTTGTGAGCAACATGCAACAACTGCTACGTATTCTGCTTCTGCTGTGGATAGAGCAACTGTATTCTGTTTCTTGGAACTCCAAGAAACTAAACAAGATCCTAGGAATTAGACCATACCTGATGTACTTTTTCTATTCACCAAATCCCCAGCATAGTCGGCATCGGCAAATCCAGTAAGATCATATGTGTCACTTCTTGGGTAGAATAAACTCAAGTCGTCAGTTCCTTTGAGATATCTCAGTATTCTCTTAACGGCTGTTAGATGCGATTCTTTGGGGTTTGATTGGAACCTAGCACACAGACCAACACTAAAAGAAATGTCAGGTCTACTTGCAGTTAAGTATAGTAAGGAACCAATCATACCTCTGTACTTTGTCTGGTCCACAAGTTCATGAGGGATCTTCGTCTAACCTAGAGTTAGTTCCCATAGGAGTGTGATTAGTCTTTGCGCCGTCAAGGTTATACTTTTTCAGGAGTTCCTTGACATATTTTTGCTGATGTATAAATATTCATGATTCAGTTTGTTTGATCTGCAGTCCTAAAAAGAAATTGAGTTCCCCCATCATGCTCATTTGGAACTCACTGATTTCTTTTGAATTCATTAAGTTCCTCTTGCATGGCTATAATCCAGTTAGGGTCTTCTAAGGCTTCTTTATGGTTGCGAGGTTCCAAAGTAGATAGAAAAGCATTGAAGGCACAGAAGTTCCTCATTTGCGATCTAGTCTGAGTTCCTTTGCATAAATCACTAATAATTTTGTCCAGTGGGTGTGACTTTTGGTGCTTCCAAGGTTTGGGCTGGAAGGTTTGGATAGTAACTCGACTATTCTTATTTTCTGAGCCAGTTGCTTCTTCTTCAATGATTTCCTCTTGTGTTATTGGTTCCTCGACAGGTTCTTCAATCTGAGGCTGTTCTGTCGAAGGAACTTCAGTCAGTATGTCGAGTTCCTTCTCCGGATTTTCATGATTTTCATTTACTCGAGTTGGCTGCTTATTTGGAATTACTGCATCTTCTTCTTGTTCTTGAGAACGTACTAGACCAATTTCAAAGTCATAATCCTCATGTTCCTGTGTACATGGAAGTGGATTAGTTTCATCAAATATAACATGCACACTTTCCTCAACACACATAGTGCGTTTATTGTAAACTCTATACGCTTTACTGTTAGTAGCATATCCAAGAAATACGGCTTCATCACTTCTTTCATCAAATTTCCCTATGTTTCTTTTACCATTATTATGCACAAAACATTTACAACCGAATGCTCTAAGATGAGATATGTTCGGTTTTCTGCCTTTCATCAGTTCATAGGGTGTCTTATTTGATATAGGCCTTAGCATGACACGATTTATAATATAACAGGCTGTATTCACGGCTTCTGCCTAGAAGTTCCTTGGAAGATCGCTGGCTATTAACATGGTTCGAGCCATGTCTTCTAAGGTTCTGTTCTTCCTTTCCACAACTCCATTTTGCTGTGGAGTTCTTGGAGCTGAGAAATTATGACTTAAGCCTTGTTCCCTGCATAAATCATCAAATTTAAAAGTCTCAAATTCAGTGCCATGATCGGATCTAAGGTGTATCAGTTGATGACCTGTGGACTTTTGAATTCTCCTGGAAAATGTACAAACTCGTCAAAAGTCTCATCCTTACTAGACATAAAAATAACCCATGTAAATCTAGAATAATCATCAACAATTACTAAGACGTACTTCTTTCCACTTCTACTTTGAATTCTCATAGGACCACATAAATCCATATGAATTAACTCTAAGGGTTTCGTGGAACTCACCATCTTCTTGGATTTAAAGGATGTCCTGACGTGCTTTCCTTTCACACAAGCGTCACAAATTTTGTCACATAGGAACTTGATTGAAGGAAGTCCCTCTACCAAGTTCCTTGTTCTTAACTTATCAATCAAAGAGAAACTTGCATGACCAAAACGTTTATGCCACAGTAAAGGATCATCCTCAATGACACTGAGGCAAGTTAAGTTGTTCCTCGGAACTGTATTGAGATCCACTGTATAAGTGTTTCCTTTCCGAGTTCGCAAAACTTTCCCAGTGTCATTCTGAATGATGCTACATTTTTCAGAATCAAAACTTACAGAGTTTCCTTTATCACAAAATTGTGATATGCTTAATAAGCTGTGTTTGAGGCCCTCGACTAAAAAAACGTTATCAATAGCTTGGGAACTTGACCTTCCAACCTTTCCTACGGCAACAATGCTGCCTTTCTTGTTATCACCAAAGGTCACAGTTCCTCCTGTATAGGCCGTCAGTGAGAGAAATCTAGTTTTGTCTCCTGTCATGTGCTTAGAACAACCACTATCGAGGTACCATTGGTTGTTCCCCCTCACTTCGACCTGCAAAAGAAACTAAGGGTTAGATTCAGGAACCCCATCTTTCATGGGTTCCTTTGTTGATACAGCAAACTCATTTTTCTTTTGCCATACATAAGCTATATTTTTAGTGGACTTAAGTTCCTTTCTTTTGCAATCAGTATCTTTGTGTCCTGACTTGCCACAGAAGGAACACACAGTCTCACTAGGGAGTTCCACGTACTTTTTCTTTTTACCACTGTTCTTCTTTTTGTGATTGAAACCCAAACCCTCTGTCCTTCTAGTTTGAGCTTCAGATATCCACTTTGGAACTCCCATGTGGATTGCACTTTGTTGTTTCTAGCTCTTTCTAAATCCTTTTCAAGGGATTCATTTTTGTCTTTAGTAACCTGCAATTCTTTTTTCAAATTTTCAAGATCATCATTAAAGGTTACTAAAGGCAATTGAAGAGCATTATTAGAATCAATGTTAGTGCATAACAATTTATACTGAGTCAATTCAACATTTAACATGATATTTTCATTTTTGACTCTTTCCAATGTTTCCTTTAGCATAGAGTTTCTATCTAGCAAATCAAAGAATCTTCCCTGAACATCTGTTCTTGAACTATTCAAATATTTCATATGATCCTTATAGATTTCTAGAGCTTTTTCATTTTGTCCAAGTTTAAGACATATTTCTTTATATTCATCCAAAGTTTCTATGAGCAAAGAAATTAATTTGTCTTTTGACAGGGATTTCAGAAATTTAGGTTTGAGATTTACCTCCTCTGACTTTTTAGTAGACTCACTGTGTTTAGCCATCAAACACAGGTTTGCCGTCTCTTCTTCCGTGGATTCTTCTTCATCCTCGGAACTTGTGTCTCCCCACGCAGCTATCATGGCTTTCCTGTAATCAGATTTTGAAAAGTTTGGAGTATTAGATTTTCTGTGTTCCTTCATTTTGCCTTTTCCTTTTTCTGATTCCCAGAGAGGGCATTCCTTGATGAAGTGATCTGTGTTCCCACATTTGTGGCATCCTCCAGTTTCCTTGGAATATTGGTTTTTCTTGAAGTTCCTTTTCTTTTGGTCAACAAACCTTTTGTTGCGGTACAACTTTTTTAGCTTCCTGACTAGCATGGCAGCTTCTTCCTCTCCAGATTCGGAATCCTCTTCACTTGGTTGGACAACCTTTAGAGCAATTCCCCGGCTCTTTGAACTTTCTTGGCTTTTGTTTGATAGGTGAAGCTCATGAGTTATTAAGAAACCTGCAAGTTGTTCAAGGTTGAAAGTTGTAAAGTCCTTTGATTCCTGCAAAGCTGCCACTTTGGATCTCCACCGTTCATCTTCAGGAAGACTCCTTAGAATTTTGCGTACCTGTTCATCCATAGGAATAACTCTACCAAGAGAAACTAATTCATTAGTAATATTTTTAAAACGAGTAAACATTTCTTGAATAGTTTCTTTTGAACCCATTTCAAAACGTTCATATTTAGAAAGCAGTATATCAATTTTAGAACGTTTAACTTCATGAGTTCCTTCGTGGGTTATTTCTAGTAAATCCCATATTTCTTTTGCTGTTTTACATCCCATAACACGAGTGTGTTCATCTGGCCCTAAACCCCAAACTAGGAGTTTTTTAGCAGTAGCATTAATCTCTTTCTTCTCAAAGTCGCTTCTATCGTATTCAAAAATAGGTTTAGGAATTACCTCGTTTTCTGCATTGGTCTTTGTTACCTCGTAATCTCCTACCTCGATAGCTCGCCAGACTTGATAATTCTCGGACTGTATGAACATCTCCATCCTCGTCTTCCAATAGGCGTAGTACTTCCCATTGAAGAGTGGAGGTCTTTGTGTAGAATAACCTTCAGCTAGTCTCTCGTCCTTCGACATTGTTCCTCCAGGAACTTTGACTCGACAGGGCTTCCTGCTTTTCCGAGTTCCTTGCTCTGATACCAATTGATAGAACAATGTATACTACAAGAGGGGGGGTGAATTGTAGTGTATATAGACTATGGTAAATTTTGCGGAATTAAATCTACTACTAAGAGAAAAGACACTGAGATAGGCAATGAATAAATTCACTATGTAAAAATGATTTACAATCACTAATACGTTGCCTACACTCAAGTTCCGTGAGGAACTCAAGTTACCCAACTGTGATCCCTCAATCACAGTTTCTCACACTTTGTGATTCTACTCCGAATCACTTGTACAGTGTAAACAACTCTCTCAAGTCTCACACTTTACAACTCTCACAACCCAAACCCAATTACACAATGATTACAAGTATTTCCTAAAGAACTTAAGAGACTAAGGATGGAAGGAACTTCTCTTTTAAACACTTTGAAACTCTATGCTCAGAATATTTAAGATTGTTTTTCCACACTTTCAAAACTTAACGTTGATATGTTTTTATAAGGAGTTAAACCAAGCTTCCATCAAGTTCCCACTTCCCCCTTAATCCCACGTTCTCTTTGACTGAGAAGTTGGGATGTAGGCAGAGGAAATTTAGGAACATGATTTCCCTAGCTTGACTCCTAAATTCAACGTGCTCCTTAATTTAAGCAGCCAATATTTACCAAGTTAAAAATCAGTTAAAGACTTATTCAAAAGATAGTTATTATTTATTAAAAAAAGATAATTATTTATTTATTAATTAAAATATAAATAATTAATTAATTTAAAACTTATCTTTTTAAATTAATGAATTATTTATTTATTAATAAAATCTTTTTAAATCTTTTTCAAAACTGATTTTTATCACTTCCTTAAATTAAGGGTTTTTGAAAACCGTTTTAAAACTTTCGTTTAAAACTTTCTGAGTCATTCGTCAAGTTCCTTCAAGAACTTCAGGTTCCTTCAGGAACTTCGAGTTTCTTCTTAATTCCTTCCAACACTTTTGTTTCTTAAGTTCGTACACTGAGTAACTAAGAATATAGAGTTGTGAGGACATCTTGAAAGCTTGCATTCATCATCAAGTCTTCCAAACTCTGTTGTTCCTACTCCAGAACATTTAACTTCAAACCTGAATCTTCTGTTTTAACCAAGACTCATAAACGTCGTTAGTCAAAGTTTGTTTTATGTAGGTCAATCATCAAAATATAAGGTGGTCAATTCAACAGAAAGCATATTCAGTTGTCATGGAGTTTCTGCTTCCTTTGGCTGTCCCGTTGCTATTATATAGAGCAGATATACGTAGTGTAATCAAATCAACCGGGAAATTGCTCTTGGCATTCTTGATTGGATCAGGTAGCATTCTTTAGATCATGTATTTAATGTGTAATAGCAATCCAAAATATGTGGATCCTTGACGTTTAGTTGGTCTTTTTATGATGTAGACTATGTAGTCATGTTCAGATTTTGAAATGTTCAGTCAGTCCCGTAGTAAAGTGGGGCATTTGGCACCTAAGCACACCCTTGTTGTACAACCACTTCAGGACCCAGTAGTCAGGTTTGAATGGACATGTCCGCTTCTATCAACGAACTCTTCTGGCTTAATGCGAATGCATTGCAGCTAAAATTTGAGATGTCCAGGAATGAGGATATGGTAGAAGCTCTTAGAAGAGCAAAGACAAAAAGTACTGGGAGATGGAACTAGGTTGCTGCAGTAAGTAATAAGTTTGAGAATGCTGTCAACATATAATGAAATGTTCCTTTCACAAGTTAGTATATTACTCCTTCATGGCTATTTATGTTTTATTATTGGGCTGAGTTGATTTCATATAGAGAAGTAGTTTAAGTAAGACTTTTCATGAACATCTCCTCCCAACATGAGTTCAAGATCTTGGAAAAGAGGATAATCACGGATTTGATTCTCCACAATTTTCCTTTAATGGCATGCACTGGTGCATTCAGACAAATGATTGGAAACCACTGAGAGTTAGAAAATGTTATCTTTTTATCCAATTGCTGTGGAGATTTCTTATAATTATGTATCTGTCTTCTTTTTTTTTTTACAGATATACTTTGTATTAGTAATTAGTAGTTGGATATTGTGTTTTTTTTTTTTTAGGCTAATTTTTTCCTTATCTGTAGTTGCCACCACTGTTGGAACTGTTGTAGCATTCTTTTTGGTGCCAATGCGGTCACTTGGTGGAGATGCATGGAAGATAGCTGCTGCTCTCATGGGTAGACATATTGGCAGAGGTAATGTACTTGCTACTTTACTGGTGTTTTGTTGCTGTTTCTTTGATATATGTTTGTTAGCTTGAACAACTTCCATTTGCAAATGATGTGTTGGTAAACTTGGTATCGTTCAACTAAGGGCTTCCTATTCCTCATACTTTAGTGCTGAGTTTTTTGGTTCGAGTAAAAGGCTTACATGATCTGCACAAGTAAACTGGTGTTAAAATGTTTCGAAGACTGAAATTTTATATTTCTCAATGTTCATTTAACTTTTCTTGCTCGTTACAGTCAGTTTTCTGGATATTTTGCATCCTTCACCTTTCTATCATGAGTTTCTTCTTGTGAAAATATTGTAACTAATTAATTTTGTGGAATTTTTGTCTAAAAGCTGAGAATTTTAGTTCAAATAACCTTGTTCGTAATGGGTGCAGCTGTCAATTATGTTGCCATTGCGGAAGCTTTGGAGATCTCTCCATCAGTGCTAACCGCTGGACTAGCCGCAGATAATGTTCTATGTGCAGTATATTTTGCCACACTGTTTGCAATAGCATCCAGAGTGCCTCCAGAAGCTGAAGCATCAACTGGTGGTATGTTGTATAACATCTACCATTTTTTCTCAATAAAATTGAGATGCTTTTATTGTCGACCTTGTGATGCTCTTCATTTCTTCCTTTATGAGGTTATAAAAAATTATTTTTCAGTTATGTTTTTCCTTTCATTTTCTTGAATGAGGGCAGAGCAACATCTTATTTCATATATATATTGTTGTCTTGAAGATCTTTATAATGTATAGTTGCTACCAAAACTTTCCTCTTAAGCAAGTTTCTCTCTGAACAGATAGCGTGACGGACATGAGCTCTGGCTCTGGTGACAAGCTCCCTGTTTTACAGTCTGCAATTGCCATAGCAGTGTCTTTTCTAATATGCAAAGCTGGAAGTTTTCTTACCAAATATTACGGAATTCAGGGTGGTATGCTTCCTGCAATAACAGCAATTGTGGTCCTCTTGGCAACTGTGTTCCCAAAACAGTTTAATCAGTTAGCGCCTTCTGGGGAAGTTATGGCTGTGGTTTTGATGCAGGTACTATGTTTCTGATTTAATTGAACATGTTGGATAATGGATGTGATACTGTTTTCTTAATGTATGTTATTTCTGGGACCTCCAAAACGTAGCCATCCTGGACTTTGAAGAAAGAAAGTGCTAGTACCGTAGCACCAATGTTGGTTATGTAGTGTAGTACTGAGTCTTTCTGCCGGTGATTTCTGTTTTTCATGCTAGCTCTTCTGTGATTCGATTAGGCACCAATGCACCATGTTGAGGTACCTAATCTCCTCGATTACCTAATTAATTAATAAAAGAACACCTTGAATGAAATATCTGGCCTAGGATGGTAAAGGTTTTGGTCCAACACTTCTGATGCTCACTGATTCCAGTTATTCATCTACTGACATCTATTTTGTCATTGTTTTTGACACAGGTATTCTTCACTGTGGTGGGGGCGAGTGGGAACGTTTGGAGTGTCATTAACACTGCACCAAGTATATTCCTGTTTTGCCTTGTCCAAATTTCTGTCCATCTTGGTCTGATTCTTGGATTGGGCAAACTTTTTGGCTTTGACCTGAAGCTATTGCTAATAGCTTCGAATGCCAATGTTGGGGGTCCTACGACAGCCTGTGGAATGGCAACTGCAAAAGGGTGGCATTCTATGGTAGTTCCTGGTATTCTTGCTGGAATTTTCGGTATTTCCATAGCAACTTTCCTTGGTTACGGATTTGGTACTATGGTTCTCCGACTCATGTGAACAAGCTCCGAAGATTTACGGTCAGATATAATTGGTGGTTGTAAGTCTTGCAGCTTTATTTTGCATAGCGAACAAGTACCTCAGCAGAATGCAGTCAACCATAGTTTTGTTTTGAGAAAATCTTAAGGACGTACAAGAAATAATGACTCCACCTCCAATTATTTTCTTTGTCAGATAACATAGAATATTATCAAGCAGAGCTACTCTGTTGTTACACACCAATGATGAACAATAGTCTTAACAATGGAGAGCTTAAGGCACAATCACAGAAAAATTAAAGATATCTTATCGTAATTCTAAAACAATTATTGAGTAAGGCCAGCTCTGATCATCTCAACTTCATGTTCGTCAATGTTAAATGCCTGAGCTAACACATCTTTGGGCACAGGATCTTTAGAAGTAAAGAGAACAGCTGCAAATTGCTGAGTGCCTGGTAGCTGGCTGTTGAAGGCAGCTACAACAGCGGTTGGATATTTGGACGTGTTTTTCTGGAAGTGAGCCAAGCCTCTTGGGAATACAAATACTTCACCAGCCTTAACAATCTTGGAAACAAGCTTATTGTTGGTAGTAATGAAACCAACGTACAGTTCACCCTGAAGAATGTAGATCATTTCAGTGGCACGAGGATGTATGTGAGGTGGGTTTAGACCGTAGGGAGCAAAGTCGACTCGAGCCATAGAGACTCCCAAGGTGTTGAGGCCAGGGATGTCCATAACATTTGCCCCAGTGACTTTTGAACCAAGGATGTTGTTGGCGATCTGGCTCGGTTTAGAAATTCCGGTGAAGAAGAAGTCTTCTGCAGTTATCATGCTAATATTTTTGCAAGGGAACCCATTCACCATTATTCCCGTAAAGTTAATCAAGACAAGAATGGGTTGGACATAAGTGAGAGTACTTAAAAATGAGTTGACATAGAAATGTGCAAAATTTTATCTTTCAATATACCTGATGTAGGATCAGCAACACAAACATCTTGAAGCATATCAGGATCATTGGCAAAGGCCCCAATTGTATTTGCCAGCAGCACCGCCAACATGACTGTGGTAACACCGGCCATTTCGAAGTTTAAGAGTTCTCAACTACCGTTCAACGTTGCAATAAGCTACTACGCGCAAGCAAGAGTACAAGAACTAGTATGCTAAAGTATAGTAGGCTTGAGAACAAAGATAACAGTCATCATGCTATATATAATATCAGTCTGTTGAAGAGGCCGTCGCATTAAAATTGACTTAATAGGTAATGCAAGGAACATGCCTTCTTAGGCTTGACCTCCGTAATTCATTTCATCAAAGCATCACTTCGGCTTCTTAAGCATAAATAAAATCTTAATTTTTCTTTGTTAAATATATATACTAATAACTTGTACTATATGAGCTGACCTAAATCTAATTGCTTGCAATTTTATAAACTTCAATTAAGTACTTGCATTTTACGTTTTAATTCAAGATAGGTTGGCCTATGAGGGATTCTAGCCAGGTAGGAGTTTAAAATGTCAACCCGAACTTTAGTCCATTAATGTTCATGAATCCGGTTTCCATTCCAATCAGTTTTAAATCAGTTTGGAGTTTTGTATAGCCCAACCTAGAATCATATTTTTGTTATGTCATTTGATTTTTGTAAAAACAACTTTCCTTTTTGAAGAGGTTTCTCCTTAACCTATTTGCCGACCTTAATTTATTAGTTCAAATTAAAATTTAACCTTAATTTCTTATATCCTCAGGGCCTATTCTATAATTGAACGAGCTAAAATAAATTGTACTCATACTATCTTCGTTACATATTATTTACAACAATTTGACATAAAGTAGAGAGGAAAAATGTCTAATCGTTGCAAACAATATATAACAGAAGTAGTATATAAAATGAGAAAATTAGTAACTAAACTTTTCGTTAAAGTATCTCCATCCCTAAATATTTGCCCCATTTTCTCCATAGAATAGAAAGACCGTCGACTCTCCCCACATCACCAAATTAATGGCGTCAGTCACCACATTTTCTCTCTCCTCAAACCTCCAAAACCAACACTCAACCTCCATACCTCAATTCTCTTATCGTCTAAACTTCAGTTTCACACTCCCGACATTGTAGCAGCTTCTTCTTCGTATGGTGGTAATTTCTTAACTACAATTTGAAATTCGGCGCTTTTTTTTAGAATTAAATAGCAATTTAAATTCAATTACCCTAACATTTCGCCAGATGATCACCGGGGTCTATGGACTGTTCTTCTTTGAACTGGAGCTTTCAGTTTTTGGTAATTAATTCTCTTTTACACTTTTCAATGATTTGGTTATATTAATTTTTTTAATTAAGATTTCTTTGAAGTTGACATTAAATATTGCCTTGCTGATTTTGGTTATCCTGATTTTAAATTATACATTGTAATGCGGATATTGTGGAGGTTGACTTACTTTAATTTAAGACTTGAGATCGAATTCCGACTGCATGTATATCGGAATACTGCTTTCGTTTCTTAATGTTCTTCGTATTTGCGTTTTGCACACAAATTAGGCAATTGGAAAGAAAATGTCTGTAGCAAGTGTATGTAATAAAGTAAAAGATGGATAAAGTGGGAGAGTGTAAAAAATGGATGAGTGTAAGAAAAAAAGAGGGTAAATTAACAGATTGAGTGGAGACTTTAGAAGATTTTGGGACCTTGACGAGTCTGAAAATAATTTTAACATGAAATCAACCCATTTTCGTAGGTTTTGGGACCCGATGTTGAAAATTCAAGTGATGTTAAGGGATGGATCCGGGGTCAATCATATTGTTAAGAGCCATATAAGGCCGCCAATTGGCCCACATAAAGGCCTATGGTTGCCTTAGTCAATGAAGGGAGACATGTACGTAACCAACTAAATTGACAAGGCAAAGTGGATGGTTCCAACCACCCAAATGGCCTCTCGGAGTCTTGTGAGGTTCTTAGGAAACACCTGAACCTCTTTCCTTTCGAAAATTGTCAAAATTAAGCTTAACACCATATGTTGAATTCCGTCAAAAACATATGGGCGCTATTTTTACATTTTTCACAAGTTTTGAGCCATTGACCTGCACCCTCTTTCTTGCAATGTAGATAGTCCACCTTACCACACGCTCTCTCTAAACTTGGTTTGTATGCTTTTCTGTACTAGCAAATATTGTTGGAGGGGTTTCTTAATCTACTGACTTGAAGCTTAAAGATTTTGAAAATTAAAACCCTGGACAGATTTGTCAAGACATTTTAAAATTTCTCCTGCTTGCTACACTGTATTATTAGTAATTAGTCTATTCCACTTATTTGCTTTCCGTATTGGGCTTGTTTTGATCATGGAAAGACTTAAGCTTTTTAGTTCTTACTTGTGGTGCTTGTATACAACTTGAATACATTAATTTGACATTTCAGAATTGACCTATATTTTTAATGCAATAATAGGTGTTCTTCGTTGTGATTGGTGCAAGTGGAAATATCTGGAGTGTTATTAGCACCGTGCCAAGTATTTTCATGGATGCATTTGTACAAGTTATGGCCATCGTTTTAGGTCTAGGGAAGGTATTTCACTTTGACTGGAAGCTGTTAATTTTGGCTTACAATGCTAATATTGGAGGCCCTACTAAAGCTTTAGGAATGACCAAAGCCAAAAGGTGGGATTCTTTGATCTTTCCTGGCATTCTTGTTGGCTTTTTTGGCATATCTGTTGATAATTTTGTTGCTAGTGGTACTGGTTTAATGGTCCTTAAGCACAATTAAATTCACAAATTCGAAAATTGCTTGAATTGCAGATTTTCACCTGATTATATTGATGTTGAATATCCTGCAAAAGTTAACATGGAATCAAAATCATCTGCCTTTCACAAAGACCACCCCACCCCCTTTAAAAGAAAAAATTAGGTATTGGCTTGTGTAGCAAACTAACAATTCAAGAACTTTTCCTCTATAAGTTAGTTTCCATGGTAGAAGGTGAGCTTCTTTCATTATTATTAGTTTATTTTTGAATACTTATAGACTTCTTTCATTTCGAAATACTTGCAACCAGACTCCTTAACACGCAATATAAGAATGAGAAAAGAAAGGTAAATGGACAAATTATTTGAAATACCTCAAACACCTGTAAGAGGGCTGGGTTGGGTTATAAAGGCTATGAATTACTTATTTCATTTTTCCGTTCACCCTCTGTCCCCTTTTTCTTAAATTGTGTGCCAAGGAGCTTGGTTGCAAGTATTTTGAAACATATGTATATTTTCAATTGATTATTTGTCAGTAGGAATTTAGTTTTACGGTTCGAGCTGTGTTGTTTTTTCTAATACATGTGACAGGGATTGTGAAGATTTCCATCTCAAAGAAGATTGAGCACTCACTCAAAACTTTTCAGGGAAGGATTGCTCAAAATTGGAAGTCTTATCCTGAGTATGATCTATCAGTTGTTCTAAATGCTAGTTATATGTTCTATAAATAATATTCATAGGAGGCACTGTAAAAAATTTCTAGTTTTGATGTGCTATATACTACCTCCGTTTCTTTTTAGTTGACACGTATTCCTTTTTAGGAAGTTTTTTTTTTTTAGTTGACACGTTTCCTTTTGAGGTAAATTTTTTACCTTGCATTTACAAGCTACCCCACTTGCTTTTTCATTCTCTCTCACTCTCTCTCCTCTCCTTAATATGTGTGCCTAAATCAAGCACATCAACTAAATAGAAACGGAGGAAGTAATATAGAAGGAAGAAATTCTGATATACTTCTTTGTTAGCGATTCAAACTTGATCATTAGGTCATCCGTTTTTTGTTACTTATTTGGGTATGGTTTTCTGAGCTTATTTGGTATCAATTATTGCTCATTTACTACGTAATATATTTAGTCTAGTGATTTTATAGACATATTTGTGCTTGATCTCATATTGTCATGAGACTCATAACTGATATTGACAAATAATTATAATAGTGCTGGCCTTAATCTTCTGATAAATTTTTCTTATAAGTCAACTAATAATTTACTCATTTCAAAGGGTTTTGGACTTGGTCAATATATATGCTTGAATGATTTTAAAGGCTTAACTAGTTAAGCTTCTAATATCAAGTCATCTTGTAAGGGAATCTGGATCTGGGAAATTTGTTACTGGGTCATTTTCTGAGGAAAGATAGATTATAGTTTTCTGTAAAATCATCCAGGATTGTGCTATATGTAGTTATGTAGTACTGTAGTACGTTACTATATCTGTGTAGTACATTTGCACTCGCACCAGAGAAATTAGTCAACTGTATTAACTATTGGAAGTTGATTCCCATAAATACGATTACATTATTCATCATGATATATAATCTCCTGCCAGTCTAACACAAAGTAATAAACAATAATAACAGCGACAATAACTATCTCCAACTTAATATAAAATTTACTAAAGCTTGGTCTGACATTGTGTATTCGTGTGATCCAGATACTAACAGTTTCTTACTATAGCACATCCACATTATACTCTCTTATATTATTACTTTTAACTGCTTGTTTCCTTCTTTCAGATGGGAGCTTTCATTTAGGTTTAAACCTTTTGACTTTATACAATTAAATAATTTTTTATACAATTACTTGTCAAAATTAGAACTTTCATTTCAATTATTATATCTGTTATGGAGTATAGTTTCTTATGCTTTTAGGTCTAAAGCTGCATGAAACATGCCATTTTAGTTATCAAGATCTGCTAGATTTTTAACTGGTTCACTATTGCTATATATATGTATGACCTTCTAAGTCAGCATTCTCCATCTAAAAATCAATCTTCTGAATATCTACAAGAGAATGAACAGCCTCGTGTTGCTGAAGTTAATATGTCTTCTGTTGTTCCTTGGGTGGATGGTGGTGTGGATTGTGTTGCCCATGGAATTTTTTAAATATGATTCAACTCCCAAGTTATCAAAAGTGTTTAATCCATCATATATTGGGGGGCAAGGTTTCCATTCTCTCTTTCCCATTAATGAATTTCTTCTTTCTTTCTTTTCCTCCTTTTCTTTTCTCACCCTTTTGGGGTGTCAGGGTCAGCTTATCAGTAAATAATCACATTGCCTTCTTATTTTTCAGGAATATATCTTTTCCTGCTTACGTTTCCCATGGTGTTAATATCGGTCCTTGGGTGCATCTATCTTCATATTAGAAACAAAACGGAGGCCTCCTCAAAAAGGTTTTTTTCTCCATTTTGTGTTTCGCATAGCATATCTTTTAATATATTTACTACCTGCTTATTGACGCATAATATCAACAATCCTGTTGCAGGTCTTCAACTCAGCAGCATCTCACCTCCTTGAGACGCCCACTGCTTGTACTGGGACCTCTAGGGGTTGTCACATCAATGGAGCTCATCTTTTTAATTATGGGTTTTGCTCTTGTAAGTTGGCAATTTGGCAACTACTT